CTCTTTCCTGCAGCTTTCCATCATGATGTTCCTATACAACTGAATGCAGCGAATGAAAGAGCACTAAAGAACACACCTAGCGAGACTGCAGCAGGTTTTCCTACAGCATCAGCCCTCACATACAGCCTGCATTTCCCTTAGCCAGGTCCTAGCACACCGTCTCCAGAAGTTTTGGATCATATGGGACAATGTAATAAGAGCAGAGGGGGAGCGGGCCTGGAATGGCACTTGTGTTGACTTTTCAGGGTAGGAAAGGATCCCCCCGACTGCTGAAGGCAACGTGCGCAGCGTGAGGAGGGTAACAGCAATCTCTCCTCTTAGGTTCCCCCCAGACTGAAGGCTGAGTTTGGTGCAGACTGCAGTATGGTTGGTTTGCAAAGGCCTGTGAAGTAGCCTGTTCATGTGGATGAGCAGCTGCCATGCTCAAAAGAAAAAGTCCATTAATTGCTTCTTTAGTCTTTGCTTGTACCTTAAAAATTCTTATTTTTGCATCATTTACAGGTAAGCTGCAAGTCTGAGACCTCCATGAATCATATCGACCCATGACGGGGGAACTAACAGCACCTCCTACCTTTAGGTTGCCAAACCCGTTCCATTGCAAAAGTTTTCTGTGGCCTGTTTTTGAGAAAGTCTAGTGCCTTGATACAAACTTAGTTGAACCTTTATTACATGATCAAGCGCTTCTTTGTTTTTCCCGGAGGACCTCTTCCTGTATAAGGCTCAGGGCTCTGATTCGAGGTACAAAAGGAGACTTACGGTTGCACACCCAACTGTACTTCTGGATTTTTAAACTTTCAAGTGCTTCGGTTTGCAGCCTACGTAACTTGGAGTATATTTTGTATGTAATTTATATGTGCAACATAAGACCCTACACCCTTATTAATGGCTGGAAAGTGAATACAACCCAATGCCTATAAAACCACTAATAATGGAAATCTTTGACATCAAACAGTCAGCAGTTTTTCACTTCCATGGATAAAAATAAAGCGCTCTGTTATTGGCAGATCAGATTCTCCTGGTTGCTATACATTTAGAGACAGAAACCGCAGTTCATATAGTACTTGCTTAGCGCAAATACAGTTGGGAGGCTCATGCTTAGACTGCATTTTTTCCCTTGTGTCTAGTAGAGACACTCCCTGTTTGCTAGTCAAAAGGAGAAACAACAATTGCAGGGGGGAGGAATTAAGCACAGCTGGATGCATGTATTTATCTGCTGCTGTTATTTATTTAACATTTTGATTACAGGAGCCCCAGAGTTGTAACGGCTTGAAAGCTGAAGATAAGTGGCATATGTCCGCAGGCAGACGAGAAGACGCGCGCGCACGCACACATTTTTACATATGCTCGTTATTTCTATTTGTCTTGCGGTTACATAAACACACAAATGCCGACTTCACTAGCTGCCTGTCAGATACTGTGGCAGAAACTGGTCTTCTGCAGGCTTTTCGAAGGTAAATCGTGAACTACCATCGGAGTTCAACCCAGGGAAGCCACTGACTCCATTGCAGGGGTCAGCACGGAGGGAAGCATGGGGCATATGTGAAAGGGCCATACTTGACCCATAGACAACTGAACAGATGAATAACTGCTGGAATTTATTCCACTTCGACATCACCATGCTACTGCAGTTGACATCTTTCCCCACAGCTGAAAAGCAAATCAAAATGAATTAGACAGAGGTAGAAAGAAAGGGAAGGATGGCCAACGGCAGCTGAAATCACCAGCTGTGCTTTTCTGAGATGAGAGCAGGGGGTATTGGCCAACAGGCTAGTACAGACTGGCCCTTTCTAAAAAGCCTTAAAATACCTTACACAGCTTTGGAAATACAAAAAGCGTAGTGAATTTTAGAAGAGGAGGTGTCCTTGCACACATTCCACCTTCCTGACGCTTTCCTCCAATAGCATAAGATAAATATCAGAAAAGGCAAGTGTACAAGGTAGCTGTGAAATCGGATCGCTGGAGGATGAAAACCAGGACTCACTGTTCACATGTTTGGATGAAAAATATGAAATAATCAATTAATAATACTTTCCTTCAGCAACGATGGTAAGTTTTTAAAACAAAATGGTCTGCAATTGCTCAAGTCCTCTGAGGAAACCTGGAAAACTGGTCATTCTCATAAAATAAAATGGCTTGCCAGCCAATTGCAAGCTTTAAAACCACTGATCTCATCTCATAAAAAGCAGCAGGAGATGCTCTGTCTGATGCTTGAAGAAGCTGGGTGCCAAAGTGCACTCAGTGCAGTGGTCTCTGGTTTCATTAGACCCTTCCTGAATACAGTGGAAGGTCACACGGACAATGCTGGAGTCACAGACCTCTACAGAGCAAGCCTCTGGGTGGGAGAAAACACTCGACACTCCCTTCTGTTCCATCAGACGTTGAAGTCTGTGTTTGTAACAGCAGCTTCAGCAGACGGGACCACTACTGGTTACTAGCTCCTAACTCA